CATTTATATCTAAAATCAAAAAATGCAACCATATAGAAACCTGTCTTAAACAGTTTAAATTCTATCAATTCTATTAATTATATTTTTCCGAGTCTCATGTCTATATGCATAAACACGGATCATCAATAGATATGACAAAAGTAAGTGATGCTTACAACTTTCGTCCGACAGAAGATTACCAATTGATGATTCTGGGAAAGGGGGATGTGACATTGCAGCAACTTGCAAAAGTGTCGGCCGACAGAATAGGCACCAAATGGACGTCTAATTTTGGTATAGGTAGAAAAAGGGTTCTGACATAGCAGCATCTTGCAGAAACAAATAATTTGTCCCAAACGCTGTCTATGAAAAATGAAAATACTTGTTTTTCTTCACCGTACTAAATTTCATCAAATGGAAAAAACACGTTAAATAATTTAATGCGTCCGAAGCGCTTTTCTTAATATATACCTTCATCAGGAACGCTCAAAGACGAAATGACAGAGAAATCTCCGGTTCGAACAAGCATGCATTTTTAAAAGTTAGAGGGACTCCCACCTAACCCATCCCATCCCACTGGTTATGTATTGAAGTCCACAATAACTTTGTATATACGCATGAGAAATAGCAGAATTGATTTTATTTTGGTACTGTAAGCTGTCAGTTTCAATTGGCATTCTGCTACGGTGAATATGGCCACTTTCCCTGTATGTTCAATTCACATGTTAACAAAAATGTGTATTCAAATCCTATATACTGGAATTTGAAAATAGTATATCATATTCTTTAAATAATTTGTTCAACAATTTTACATATTTCGATAAATTCATTTTGCTATTCGGCCATATATCACGATCCGAAATCCGCGGAGTGGTCCAAATCCAGAGCATAATCCTCCGTGGGAATCGGATTAAGACTTTACTTACCCACCGTTTGTGGTCTCGTGTAGTTGCTTCTCGGGATTCGGATCCTTCCGAAGATTTCGGATCGGGATACCCGGTGTGTATATATTGCTGTTCAAGGCATTTTGATAAAACAATATTGCAAATTTTACATTTTTAAGCTCAGTTTTGCATCGAAATACATCGCTAACCAATATGAATTATTTTGTTTCCAAAAGACAATACATAGCATAACATCCAGTTAATTAACATAATTTTGGTTTTGATAAACAATGTCCTTCTTATATGTTTTTGGTATAGCTAGATACCCAATATTTGCCAAAGCTGTCAAAACCAGGGTATTGGATTATCTTCTTGCGTTTATAATTAGGCGTTCTCTTTAGAAATAAACTAAAACTTGAAGTACATACATTGGGCTATGGTTATTATAATGTGAAGTAGACTAAACCATTATAGGAAAAAAAACCGTTCGAAGCATTGGTCAGATAACAACTATTTGGTGTATAAGACCTTTACTCTTATGCGGGTTTAGTTATATTTAGATTAAATCTTTTTTTTCCGGCAAACAAAAGTAATCATTAAAATGTTTTAATTCAAACACGCAAGAACCGGAAATCATTTACTCTTCCGGAACACATGGTTTTCACCCTGTTTTTACGTATCGAATTTTTTTCTCGTGTCCTTATATAGTTTTCATGCAGTGCGAAGTTGCCATTATTTGCTGTTGTTTGTTTTTCTTGTCCGAGTTTTAGTTGTCTTTTGTTACATAATTTCACCGTTCATCATTCAAGATATTAAAAATAGCTATTATGTACATGCAAAAAGTATAATAGTCTGATAATGTAGATACTTACTCAATTGAAGTTATCGGGTACCGCTGCGTGTTCTATAGTCTTTGTCGTAGGAAGGTCTGGATGGTGGCCCTCCATTTCTATAATTTTAGACCTTTTTTCTACATTCTTTATTTATTTTGCCCATTATTATCTATTTTTTATGGTTTGCCATTTTTTCTGCACTTTTTCCCAATATTCTCTATATTGTTAACCATATCAAGATCCTCTCGTAGGGTGTTACTTAATAAACATTAAAAACAAAAACATATTTTATAATCTGCATTAGATTTGATGTTTGGCAAATCGTTCCATTCGAAAACAAATGAATTTTAAGATATGGAACAGTTGTAATGAAAGGAAGGCAAATAAATGATTTGAAAACTGGCTTAATTTAAATGTTTTAAACAGAAACATACAAAAGAAATGCATTCTTGTGTTCAATCGTTTACAGTGTTGCGTTTGTGGTACCGTTTACGACCTGAATAAACACTTTCATAATTACATGCATAACTTATTTATCAATTAAAATAGCTATAGTGTTCCGTGGGATACAAGAGAGAACACCACAAACAACGCGTTTGGAGCATTATCCATCCTCAGCACCTATCTTCTGCTTCTTTGTCAACAAAAATCTGAAAGCAAGCGTTACGCGTATCGGAAAGCAAGCGTTTCCGCCGATTGAATAGGAAAGCAAGCGTTCCGAATATTCACCGTGGTGTATGTACAAATTTGGAGAATATCATTAATATCTATATTAATACATGCTAACTTACAGAGGATTTTTAACGGCAAAGTAAATCTCTCTGCTACATACTTATACATTAGCATTAAACTTTAAATGTTACTCTTTTCATTTTTATAGATAATTCTTGTCACAATTCTATATATGTAGTTAAAAGAAGTGACCAATCAACTAGTGCTGAAAAAGCATGACAATCCAGAATTTACCCGACAATAGTTGCAAAAAAAATTAAAATATTTTCAACGCCTGTTACCACCAAGCGATAACGGTAACGGATTAACAATAGGTCAAACATGTCATATAGTACGGCCTTTAACAATGAACAAAAACCTTACTAATTAGCACTACAAGGGCAATTTGAATTAAACTTGCCACAACTAGCCTTGGGGTATCTGTCTGCCAAATATGTCCGATGATCCCAACATGACCCCAAAAGTTTAAACCAAACTATAAGGTATTAATGCACATGATGAATGTATCGTTTATTATCTTGAAAACAGTTTTAACATTTCGACTTCGAATTTGATTTTGGCTTCCCACTATTTTAAATCGAATGCCGCTGATGACCCTTATGTAGAAAAAAAAACGCGTCTGTGGTACAAAAAATATAAGTCGGGTATCTTTGGTAAGTTTTAAACAAAAATCAGAAAGGCTAGACGTTTTTTGAGTATGAAGATATTCCTACTATCTATTTTGTTAAAGAATTTGTTAGACGACACCTTATTAGAGTTATTTACCAGTGATAATTTCCACCATTTTTTTTTTCATTTTTGCCTATTATCTTGAAAATGTCGATAGATACTTTGTAAAATTCAAAAGTTAGACAAGATCTACAAATAAGTTAAATAGACAAAAACTGTCAGTCAACTCTTTGAGGTTCTGTCCTTAAAATGTGAATTTTACCTATTTTCTGCCTTTTGGACATAACTAAAGTTTATGGAAACAAACTGTAAGCAGCAAAATAAGATCAACAAGACAAGATCTACAAAGCTGTCATCAAATTCTCATTGAATCAGTTGAGCGAAACAGGCTTAATTGTTAATGCAATATCTCCATTCATTATTACCCATCCAATGCAAAGCCCACTGAACGTTTTGTCTTCCCTGGTAAAGATATAACAGAGTGATGTTATGTATGCCAATCTCGCAAAAAAGCTACAGAAACCTTCACTTTAAGGTTATTATAGCAAATTCAAAAGGAAAAAAACATATTTTTCTATAGATTTGTTATGATTGACCTTATCTATATACCTGACATTAATGAACTTGGCATGGTTTTTTTTCGTTTTGTCGTTAAATGTTTTGAATGAATTCTGTTTCATATGAGTAAAAAAATAAGTTGGCCAGAAGTGCTGCACAACTAGCACAGATAGGAATGTTCAATAAATATGTTGTGTTGATAAAAAAAGTCCACCATTTTGATGTATAGTTGTGAAAATTAGCGCGGATAATTTCAGTTTTTTATTTAACCTTAAACAAGAAAGTTGTATCTACGTTTCCCATTCTTGTAGAAAAAGCTCCTTTTAATGAGGCGATGTAGTCGATCTTTCAATTGAGCATGGGAATAGTAGAGTGAAGAGTAGACAATTCCAAGGTTTTGATATTACTGCAAAATGGTTAAGATCGTGAATCAGTATTTTGGAGTAGATCGCTTGAATCCACACATCTGATAAACACCGCTGGTTGAATGTTCCACATCAATATTTTTGAAGGCCATCTCATTCTATAGAAAGAATAGTGGTAAGAAATGTAGAAAGATGTTTTAGTTAAACATCTTGACAACTCGGGTATATTTCTTTTTGTTTATGAGGATTTTTGTGAAATTTAGGTTTACAGTATAAAGACGGGATATTTTCATTGTCCCTTTTATATTAATATCAAACGAGAGGACGGATTTCTGATTTTCAAGAATTTTGTCTTTTGGGAATGATGTAGGGGTGTGTACATATTATATAAAATACAGGATGAAAACATGGGATTTTGATGGAAACAATCCAGCGTGCATGTGTAGAGCTGGTAAAGTTTACTTCAACTAGGAAGGTAGGAACAAAATGTGTTCTTTATTCAGGGCGTCACTATATTTTCAACGAAACTGATACAGTTTTCATCTTTCCTGCTACATTAAGACATTCCATGCGGACATAGTGGATACTCGTGTAAAAATTTATTTTTTTAAAAAGGTAGAATACCTGAACCATTCAACAAAATAATGTCATCTTTATAGTTAAATCAGGTTAAAACATGGATTTGATTTAATCTTTAAATGTTTAAAAGTTATTATTTTGTAGCTGGGGTGAACGTAGCTTGCTAGATTTTATGAATTCTAAATTTGATATAAATGACTTTTTAAACTGCTGGCATTAGTATTTAGACTAATATTAGTTTATGATACCACAAATAAAAAATCAAGATCATAATGCGTTTATTAATCTTTGTATTTTAAATACAATACTATCATGAGTGTAATTATTTAAATGCTGGATAGTTCCGACTATAAAGGTAAAATATCTGTTATCAATTTATCAGTACATACACAACAATAGATGACGCGTTAAATATTTTGATCAAATAACGTAGAAGAATTGTATCATTTTAAACTATTATAAATATTTTGTAAATTATCGATAGACAAGGGGGCATTTTTACATTCATACACTTTGAATCAAAATGGCGTTTGCGCAGTCAGCACAAAAGGCACAAATTCCAATCGGATGCCAGTTTTGTGACAGTGGAACTAAAATTGAATGGAAATGTGTTTTCTGTTCATTATTACTGTGCAGTGAATGTAAAGATATTCATCTGAAAGCTACAAATTCAAGCGATCATAAAATTGTAGACATAAAGGAAGTGAGACCGAAAGATGAATCAAAGGGACTCGTGAGCTTTAGCGAAATTAACTGTCCAGAACATTACAACCAGCTCTGCGTGTTATACTGTAAACGTTGTGACCAACCCATCTGTATTAAGTGCGTTACCAAAACTCACAAAGGTCATAATTTAATTGATGAGGATGAATACAACGATGAACTTAACGAAAAAATTTATAAAATGAAGTTGAATGAAAGTATGCCGACCAATCCACATTTGCCTAGGGTCGTTTCAGGGAAAGCAAATCCACAGAAATATGATACAAAGATCTATGAATTAGGCGAGCAAAAACCGACCATTAAAGTAACTAGGAAATATACCACTGATTTTAGGCAAATTTACGCAATGGTTTCATGTTCGTATGATTCATTGTGGATTTCAGACTTGTTACAAAATGTTATGAAGAATGTGAAACTGAAAAAGGACAATATTCAGATCATAACTGAGTTCAATATTCCGGTGTACGACATGACTACTAATTCAAATAATAATCTACTTGTATCAGTAAGTGATGAATCAAGGCTTAAGATTTTGACGAAAGGATCAGGGCAAATATCACGATCTAAATACAATGTAGAACCATTGTGTACATGGGGTATACATGTAACTATGAATCAAAAAATAATTATTGGAGCAAAAACGCCAAGATCAGGATATCGTACAGGAAGTCGGTTAGTGATAGTAATGGATGAGACAGGAAATAATTTACAGAAATATGAACATGACAAAAACAACAAACTATTATTTACACTACCGTATAGGATAACCAGTACCAGTAATGGTAACATCTGGGTGGTAGATGTGTTTGATGAAGATGGCAGTGGTAGAGTGGTAGTGCTGGGGCAGACAGGAAACATTATACGCATATATAATGGTAATCCTGATGTTAACTCTAAAGAAAGACCATTTAATCCTACATGCATACTAACTACACCAGCGGATAATATTATTGTGGCTGACTGTTTAAATCATGCATTGCATATACTGAACAGTGAGGGAACTTTTGTTTTATACATTAGGACTGATGATGAAGGAATAAGATTACCCCATGCTCTTGCTCTGTCTGGACAAGGACATTTTTATATTGGTTGTAGTACTCCAAAGAGAAGTCCTTATTCTGTTAAAGCTAACCTGTATCAAGTAAAATACTCAGGATTTTAAGAAATAAAAGACGTGAGCTTATTTGGCTATTCTTTTAAGATCCCCTTTGGTCATATAGCTCCTTATGTTTTCATGTCTTATACATTCTTGGCTTTTAGTTATCAACTAAGGTTAGGTCACCTTGCGGCCTTCAACAATGAGTAAAATCCATACCACACAGCAAGAAATAAAAGGCACCGAAATGACAAATGTAAAACAATTCATACGAGAAAACTGATTTATATACAAAACAATAAACGAAAGATAAATATTCCATTACATGTTTAGGGTGTACAAGATGGACAAATAGAACTAAAAACATCAGGAATATCTTCTGTATCAGATATAAGCTTTTGATTTAATTTGATTTTACGTTTGATAATAATTTCACAAAATCCCATTTTTTAAACAGTACTTGCCTTGTTAGAGAAAAAAGTAAAACGTTATGGCCCAGTATTTGAGATTATGTTCACCTTGAATATGTGATGGACTTTGTGGGTTTAAGTAATGTCAAAGAAAATCAAATGCTTGGGAGATTTGAAAAAGAGCATACTTTGACATATAATGGTTTACTTTTACAAGTTGTAACTTGGATGGAGAGTTTCATTGGCACTCATACCACATATTCTTATATCTATGAAGATACCGATGGTTCAACGAAAAATCATACCCGGAAAAAAAAAAAAAAAAAAAAAAAAAAAAAAAAAAAAAACACAGTAAGATCATAAAAAACGAAACACCAGAAAAATAAAAAAAACAACAATCTTCCAAACAATACTAATCTCACTAAAAACTCACAGGATTTTGCATATTACATTAAAAATAATGAGTGTCTGTCAAAGTTCTTCCTCGATTTGTCAAGTTTTTTTCATATCGCCTTTATTAAATTCAGAGTTGTCTCTCTTAGGCTGATTATAATACAAACATTTTTCAAAACATTTTGAAATTTATATATATCAATTTAAAGTTAAAGTAGTTGAACGATGTTCAAGTCTCATAACTCCTTATAAAAGAAAACAAATCAAGATTACATCAAAACCTGAGCGAATCGTAAAAACTCTGAAAAGAGTGAAACCGGGCGCGTCGACAAGGTAAGATTTTTCGATTGATGCATCACATACCATGCGGATACTCACTTAGTCAAAATTTCATAATCGGAAATAGGATACAACCAGTACCTTCACAGATCAGATGACGACTGTTATTTTACTGTTCTTTGCTTTACTTGACTTTTTAAATCTTTTTAAATGATTTTATGCAATAGACATTTCATAATTCGTGCAAAGTGCGCAGGCTAATCGGTAATTTATTTTTGGAACATGTTCAACTTAATTCAATACATTTCTGAAATATATTTTATGAAAGAGAGGTTGAGCTCATAAACATGTACTAGAAATTGCATATAGGATATTTTTGCGATCTTTTACATCTATTTGTATAGATAAAGGCAACAGTAGTATACCGCTGTTCAATAGTTATAAATGGATTTAACTGAAAAAATCTACTAGAAATTGCATTTGTAGTTTCAAATACACGCACATATATATGTTCCTATAGGATATTTTAGCGATCTTTTACATCTATTTGTATAGATAAAGGCAACAGTAGTATACCGCTGTTCAATAGTCATAAATCAATTTAACTGAAACAAATCCGGGTCACAAACCAAAACCGAGGGAAACACATCATCTATAAGAGGAAAACAACGGAACAACATAAACACTGAACTGCTAAAAAACAAACGCCAACATACATATAAACGGACTATTTGATAACAACTGCCATATTCCTGACTTGGCACAGGACATTTTAAGAAAAAAATGGTGGGTTGAACCTGGTTTTATGGCTAGCCGAACCTCCCGCTTATATGGCAATACAAAAAATACCGCTAAAATGACAACATTACGTGGCAGGAATACAGTACAAATAAAAGCAAGAACACTCAGGACAGAAAAATACATAAATAGATAATATAATAGCACGTTACAACATGTAAACCACAGAATAACAACGTACACCACAATAGAATTATGAACTGTGCGAACGTATCAGCGCAGGTAAATTTCTAAAGAAAGAATATAAAATTTGGATTAAGTTTGTAATGGTGTTATTTTATGTATTTTTTAACCATTACAAGAAAATTAATATAGAATTGTGTTAGTAATGATGTAATTATTTGTATTTGCTAACCATGTCGGTTTTTCATCTAAATCAAAACTGTGTAAAAACAAATAAATTCTGTGCTTCTAGTTGCTTTAAACTAAAAATCATATAAATGGACTAGCTGATTAATTATCTTAACTTTTACATATATATAACTTGATAAAAATAGAATTCAAACCACAAATGATAAGACATAACACAATATCGAACCAGACTTACAAACGAAACATCATAACTAAATACATGAATGTTGGATGTATAAATACCGAGACAAGTTTAAAACATTGCGAATTCACACTCGGGAAAACAGTCATGTTTGGGAATAGGTCACGTTTGGTACATAGCAGACGAGACGACGTAGATGGTACACCACAATCTAAGACGTGGTAAAAAAGTCGTTAGTTAGTTTAGACACAGACACATCGTAAAGATAAACCAATTCGTGATGGTGTCCATAAAATTTACGGAGTGTCATTTTTAATCTTTCCTCCTCATAACTCTGTTATTCTAGTTTCTGCGTAAGGAGAACATTCCTGTATACGAAGTCCATATAGTGTGAACATGCACGAGCATAACGTATCAACTGAGAAATGTAAACACCATGCGATAGTGCTGAAGGTATGTTACTACTGAGAAATGGGAAATTGATAATTGGGAAGTTGAAATCGTCCCGTTTGTCATAGATTTATGTGTGAATTCGTCCATCTGTGTCAATATTGCGGAAAAGATCAAGGTATGAAGCTGTCCTTCTAGTATCAGTAGTATCCTTAATTTTAAGATCACTGGGATATATGAGATGTAAGAACTGACTGAAATATGGATTATTTAGTGATAGGACATCATCAATATATCTGAAAGTCGAATTAAAGAATTTCGCAAGGTGCTTTTTCTTGTTATCTTTTAGAAGGTTCTGAATGAATTCTGCTTCATCCGAGTACAAAAACAAATCGGCAAGAAGGGGTGCACAATTAGTACCGATTGGAATACCGACTGTCTGTTGAAATATCAATGCTCCAAACTCAACAAATATATTGTCAATCAAAAAGTCCAGCATTTTGATAGTATCATCCTCAGTATATTTTCTGATAGAATCAGTGTGGTTCTTCACAAAACAAGAATTATTATAACCCAAAACAAGAAATTTATATCTACGATTCCCATTTTTATAGAAAAAGCTCTGTTTGATGAGATGGTGAAGTCGATTTTTCAATTGAGCATGGGGAAAAGTAGTGTAAAGCGTAGAAAAATCAGAAAGTTTAAATGTTGCTGCAAAATTGCAGAGATTGAGATTTAAGACTTAGCAGTAGATCTTTAGAATTTTTAAGAATCCAGATCTGATTGACACCACTGGTTGAATATATTTGATCACAATATTTTTTGAAGGCCATCTTTTACTGTAGAAAGAATAGCAGTCAGCACTTTAGAAAGATGTTTAGTTGAACATCTTGATGATCCAGCTATGTATCGTTCTTTATATGGAGTTTTGTGAAGTTTTGGTATACAGTATAACGACGGTAGGTTTTCTTCGTTTTCTTTGATGTTAATACCAAAAGAAAGAAGGACAGATTTGTGATTTTGTAAAATTTCATTCTTTGTAAATGATGTTAAAAAATTTGTAGGATTACTAGTTTTGCTGTTTATTCCAAGCTCTTTTATCAGAAATTCCAAGTAATGGATTTACATATGAAGACAATATTATTGGAGGCTTTATCTGCTGGAACAACGACACTTTTGTTATGCAAAGAGGATAAAGCATCCACAACCTCCGAGTTCTTGAATGGGTTAGACACCCTTGTGCTAATAGTACATAGTAGTTTCTGAATGCGTTTCTGAATGCATGATCAAATAGCTTTGATCCATTTAGACAAAGTGTCCAGTTCTGGTTCATCTGGCTCGCGCTTTACCTATTTTCTGGCATAGTCTTCAACTGCATCCATCAGTAACTTAAAGTTCTTTTTCCAGTTGATGGGCTTGGGAATTCTATATTTTGGTCCCTTGGCTAACAACTCTCTTAGTTTTTCATTGGTTAGGATGCCAAGGTCGCCAGTAATAACATGACCAGTTGGACTGTAATTGTACTTAAGTATTTTGACGATGCACATGAGCAATCCGGAGGTTTGGATTTCCCATCTTTGGGGTTAAAGGTTCTAAAACCCTCTTTTGGTTGAAAATCTTGGATGCAATAGGCTTGGTATAAGTATATGAAATAACAGGTGTAATTTTATTTTTGAAGTAATCAGGTATAGTTTTTGTACAGATTTCTGGTGGAAAATATTGCTAATATTTATAAACTTTTATTGGCGAATTCTACTTTAACAAAAATACGTTTTTTCTCATCTTTGGAAGTAATGGATACGGGTTTGAATAGTCTATGGTTAGCAATGTCCATGTTAATTGCAACTAATCTATACAAAACAGAATTAGAATCAATAATGGAAGTATTTTTGGCCTCCTGAAATAGTAAATAAAGTTTAGATAATGGAATGGAGTATAATTTAGTTCTGATATGGTGTATTCTTAAAGGTTTTTGAACAGACGATAGCAGACTATCAATTGTCACGGTTTGAACAGCAGGTGCTGTAAAATTTCTGTGACCATGACTTCTATTTCGTCGAGCAGAAGTGTTAAATAATTGTAATGTATTGACAGTACTACACCTAGACAAAATACCTACACCATCAATTTTGTCATTGCATCCATAGGGAATGGCTGTTCCCAACTTTTTAATCCAAAAGTCTTCTCATTGTAACCAATATGGTGTCCTCAATATGGGGTCATTTGTTGAATGATAAATTTTCTCTATAATCCGGACTTTCATAGGTACGCTTAAAGATCACGTACCCGAAGACTTAAAAGCAAAGGTTTTAGGAGTACTCTAC